TGAGCGGCAAGCCACTCCCACGAAGGAGGCCACACCCACAGAGTAGGTTCGAACAATTTTTGAAACCCACCACTGGTTGTGACCTACTCTTGGATCCCTGTGCCAGTTGATAAAGGGATCTCGTAACAAATTCTGCCACGTTCCGTTGGAGGCTGCTTAAAGAGCAGAAACGCTCTTGGGTCCCAGAGGGAGTGAGGACTTCAAGCGATCTCCTAAAAGATTCTCTCCTACCTGAACTGGAGGCTCAGCCACTCTTTCAGTTCCACCAGGAAAAGGTGACGACCCTAGAAACAACAAAGGGACACTTTTGATTTCCTGCATGGGACTTCTTACGCGGAGCTAGAGCAGAATTTTAAAATATTTCGTGAAGAACTCAGGACGATGCAAGAGCATTGAGACATTTCTTGAGAACGTCAGGTCCCTCGGAAAGGCCCCCCCTTACCTCCTGAGGTGCCCCAGCTTGGATCTTCTTGGGGAATCCCTCTGAAAGGCAGTTCTTGAGAGGCATCTGACGGGTCTTTCCTCCGTTTAGGGTGCCTGGGGATGGCCTCCTCCCCAAAGGGCTGCGGCACCCGACGTGCCTGTAGATGGAAAAGAGAAATAAAGTTTCAGATGAAACCTCTCAACTTTGCAGACTCCGTTACCCCTCGGTGCAGATGGAACAATGGAGCAAGGGCACCAAATAAGATATCCTGGGAGAAAAATGGGGAAAACGCTCAATGCAAAGATACTCTCGATTAAGGTGTAGCTTTGGAGAGAACCTTCTCTCACCTGCAGCTCTTCCTGCTGCTTCTTCTCCGCCTGGCTCAGCAGGAACCCCTCGGCCAGGGCCACCGCCTGGGCGCTGGTCTCCGCACCGCACTCCCGCACCCAACTGGCCGTCTCCGCAGGGAGCACGGCCAGCAGCTGCTCCAGGATGACCAGGTCCAGCACCTGCGCCTTGGTCTTCTTCTCTGGCTGCAGCCAATCCCGGCAGAGCCGATGGAGACGGCTGCACATCTCCCGGGGGCTCTTGCCCCACGCGTCCGAGGGCAGGCGGCCGACCTTCTCCCTGGTGGTTTCCCGCAAGGCGTCCCGCAGCTCCTCCACCTTCTCCCAGAGGGCTTCCTTCAGGGAGGAGTTCTGCAGGGCCCTCCTGAGGGCATCCACCCGGGCCAGCAGCTCCTCCGCCCGCTTCAGCGTGTCCGTCCAGAAGGCTAGCGCCTGCGTCTCCAGGGCGGCCGCTTTCTCCCACAGGAGGTGGGCCTCCTTCACGGGCGCCTCCCGGGCGGCTCTCCGCAGGACGGCTTCCCCCTGCCCCAGGGGCAGCTGCCGGAGGGCCTGGCGGAAGGCTCCGGCTTCTCTCCGGGCCTCCTCGGCCTCCTCCAGCGGCCCGGCCCACAAGCCCTTCTCCAGGCAGGCCACCTCCCAGCAGTCCGTCTTGCGCAGCAGCGCCTCGGCCTTTTCCAGCACCGGCTGCAGCCCTTCCAGCGGCGCCTCCCGCAGGCCGGCCCGCAGCCCCTGCAGCTCCCTCCGCAGCGCCTCCGCGCTCTCCGCCCAGCCTTCTTCCTCCAGCGCCTCCCGCAGGGCCAGCAGCTGCCGGGCCCGGCCGCGCCCTTCCTTCCGCACCGCCCGGCTCAGCTCCCGCAGGCTCTCCCACAGCCGGTCGTCCAGGAACGCCGCCAGGGCCGCCTCCAGCGCCCGCGCCGCGCGCACCGGCCGCCCCCGGCCCTCGCCCGCCTCCAGCTCCGCCACCACGCCCAGCAGCGCCTCCCGCAGAGCCGACACCTTCTCCGCCGAGGCCGCCGCTGCACCCGCGGNCTTCTTTCTTTCCATTCCTCCCTCCCTTTTCTTTTCTTTCTTTCCATTCCCCCCTCCCTTTTCTTCTTTCTTTCCATTCCTCCCTCCCCTTTCTTTCCTTCCATTCCTCCCTCCTCTTTTCTTTCCTTCTTTCCATTCCTCCCTCCCTTTACGTTCTTTCTTTCTTACCTTTTTTTTTCTTTTTTTCCTTCCATTCCTCCATCCCTCCCTATTTGCCCTTCTGCATTAGAATGTTAAGTTCACCCTGCTCATTTCCTATACAGATAGTCCTCAACGTATAATCCTTTGTTCGACAATGGTTTAAAGTTATAAGGGCACTGAAAAAGGTGATTTACAACACCGTTCCTCCTATTTAGAGTCATCAGCATCCCCACAGCCACAGAATCAAACTCTGGGCACTTGGCAACCCACAAATAACCACGGCAGCTACAGTATCTCGGGGTCATCCGTTCCAGCAAGCAAAGTCAATGGGGGAAGCCGGATTCACTTAAAAACCACATTTCACTCAACAACTGCAGTGACTTGATTAACAATCGTGGCAAAAGAAAAAGTTGCAAAATTGGGCACAACTCGTTTAACAACTGCCTTGCTTAGCAATGGAAATTCTGATCCCAATTGCGGTCATAAACTGAGGATTACTTGAATTCTATATGTTGGTGTCAAAACATCTGGGACTGGGAACATGAGAAACACAAAGCATAAACTAAATCACTGGGGTTTTTTGGGGGGGGTTTGCAACAGTGTTTACACATTAACATGGCAAAAGCCCATCCAAAGCCGATTCATCTTATATAAACTGGCTACCCCTTTTGTTAGAAATCTTCCCCAGTAAATTCCTTCTCTCTTGTGGGTTTCAGGTTTCAGGTTTTAGCAAAAATCAGGCTTAAGACAGCCAGGATTCCTGACTCAGATAATTATTATTTTCTGTTCATACCAAGAAGACAAGGTGTACATAAACAGAATCACATAAGTCCAGTCTAGGCAATCCCACTAGAGTAGATGTTTGCATGGGAAGGAAGCCGCCTGTTTCACTGAAGCTCTCCCTGCAGTCCACACATTTATAAGGGTTCCCCCCCTCCCCCCCCCCGGCTGAATCCTTCATGTGAAGCAAGGGTGCTGCTCTTGCTAAACATCCATTCATTCCTATGGCTTCTCCCCCATGTGGATCCTTTCATGGGAAGTGAGTTCACTGCTCCTCTTGAAGGTCTTCCCACATTCCATGCATTGATAGTGCTTCTCCCCCGTATGGATGTTTTTATGGGAAAGGAGGTGGCTGCTTTGACGGAAGCTTTTCCCGCATTCTGCACACTTAAATGGCTTTTCCCCTGTGTGGATTCTCTTATGGCAGGCAAGCTGGCTGTTCCTTCTGAAGCTCTTTGAGCATTTCATACATTTATATGGTCTCTCGTCTAAGTGGATCCTTTTATGGGAAATAAGTTCACTACTTTCCCCGAAACTTTTCCCACACTCTGCACATTCATATGGATTCTCACCAGAGTGAATCCTTTTGTGGGAAGTAAGCTGAGAATTCCAAGAGAAGCTTTTTCCGCACTCTGTACATGTGTACGGTCTCTCCCCTGGGTGGATTTTGCTATGGGAAGTGAGCTCAGCGCTGCTCCTGAAGGTCTTTCCACATTCCAAACATTTGTGTAATTCTTCCAATGCGTGGATCCTTTTATGGGAAGAAAGCTCACGGCTGCCTCTGAAGCTTTTCCCACACACCAGGCATTTATATGGCTTCTCTCCCGTGTGGATCATTTTATGAGAAGCGAGCTGATAGCTCCAGAAGAAGTTCTTTCCGCACTCCATACATTTGTATGGTTTCTCTCCCGAGTGCAGTCTTTTATGGTAAGTAAGCTGGCTATTCCTCCTGAAGGTCCTCCCGCATTCTATGCATTTATAAGGTTTTTCTCCTGTGTGGACCCTCCTGTGGGAGGTCAGTTCACTGCTTCCCCTGAAGCCCCTTCCACACTCCATACATTTATAAGGCCTCTCACCAGTGTGGATCCTTCTGTGGGAAGTCAGTTCGCTGCTCCTCCTGAAGCTCTTCCCACACTCCGGGCATTTATAGGGTTTCTCTCCTGTGTGGATCATTTTGTGGGAAGTAAGCTGATAGCTCCACAGGAAGTTCTTTCCACACTCCATGCACTTGTACGGTTTTTCTCCCGCGTGGAGTCTTTTATGGTAAGCAAGCTGGCTGTTCCTCCTGAAGCTCCTCCCGCACTCAGAACACTTGTAGAGTTTTTCCCCCGTGTGGATCCTTTTGTGGCAAGTCAGGTCGTTGCTCCAGGTGAAGCTCTTCCCACACTCCAGGCATTTATAGGGTTTCTCCCCCGTGTGGATCCTCCTGTGGGAAGTAACCTGGCTGCTGCTCCGGAAGTTCTTCCCACACTCTCGACATTTGTAGGGTTTCTCCCCCATGTTGATTCTATCCCGCAAAGAAAGAATGAAAGTCCAGCTGTAACTTTTTTCGTCTTCCCTGTTCTGATCCTCTTCGTCTGTAGTGTGATCATGCTCATTTAAATCTAATTTTTCTCTGAATGTTTTCACACTTTTCCCAAAACCCTTTGCCCTTTTTCCTTTGGGAATGTCCAAGGCTTGAATTTCGCCGCACTGAAAAGAAAACTTTCTGCTTCCATCCTTTGACTGGTTTCTCTCGTGACTTTTTAGCTCCGCTTGGTCTCTTCCTTCTTTGCGTCTGAGAGCTTCTAATATTTGCCTGTAGCACATGTTCTCTTGCCCAACAGGCCCTTAAAAGGAATAAAAAGTGTGTGTTTAAACTAACAGAAGGGGAACATAACCACCAAAAACACGACTGAGAATCCCATTTCTGAAAATCCCCAAAAACCTCTGTAACATTTTTATAGGCTATTCTGACCTACAATCTGACGCAGCTTATCAAATGCATTGATATAAAGTTGCATGGGATGGGAATTTATGTTTCATGGGTAGTAGAAACAATTTTAAAAGCCATTTGTCTTAAAACAATTCTGCACTTTGGGGTTAGCATATTTGCCTCTTGCTGTCTATGATTTTTTTCGTTATTCTGCACTAGATATCTTTCCCCACACGTTCTCTTCTTACCGCCAAGTCCTTGGTTCAGGTGGGGGGGAAAATCTGAAGTCCTCACTCAACATGAATAGGAGGGAGACAGGGAACCCCCTGCAGGGTAAGGCTGAGGAGTATGGTCAGTTCTTGGCGGACAAAGTTGCTCGGTTTCGATCNAATATATAAATCATGTAACAATGCTATACCTGTTTCTTTAAATCATGCTGTAAATGTGATTGGTTACTGTTTCCTCATGGGGAACAAAGTGGGAAGCACCGAGTGTGACGGGAACGATCTGTGGAGTCTTGCAAGGAATTACAGGACCTTCTATCTCATGTCGCAGCTCTTCATCCTTTGCTGGATCTGTTTGTCTCATCACACAGGCGACGGGGAAGGTGAGCCGGCATCCCTTCAGCCCCCTGGTCTCTTTGGGGGAACCTGTGATTTTAATGTGCTGGACTTGGCTCCCGCTATCTACAGATTCTGGGCTTGTGAATTGAGCTGCTTCGTTAACGTTTATTTTGGCTTGCGGTGGCTTCAGAGTGATCGGCGGATGTGCAGAGCGGCAAAATATTTGTGTCGCCTAACGTGCCCTTCCCCAGGTGAGGCCTCACTCACATTTGTGTCAACTTTACGGAATGTGGTTTTTTTTCTTCTTCAAAAAGCAGCTGGACTTTTTGAAGAAAACGTTTCGCTTCTCATCCAAAAAGCTTCCTCGGTTCCGATGGGGGGAAAGGAATGGAAGGCTTGGATTTCTTTGCAGTCATCTGGTTGTTAGTTCTCTTCCTGAGAGCTCTTGAGGCCACCATCCTATTAGAATCTATCTTTCCACCCCCATCATCCTGCAGAAACTGATGAAGCTCCTTGGAGGAGAAGGAAAATGTTTGCTTCTTTCACCTCCTCAAGGAAAAAAAAACAGTTGTTGCCTTTTTGAGGGGGCAGAAGTGGATTCCTATTGGTTTGGACCGGTTCGGCCAAACTGGTAGTATTTTGCCAGCCTGGGTTGCTGGAACCGGCAGCGACCCAGACTTGCCATGCCTCCAAACCAGTTCCCAGATTGGCGCAGCATGTTTTACCCCAATTTTTTTAATGTTCTGTGCATGCACAGACCTATTTATGGGCAACTATGCACGCGTGGAGCAAAGTTGTGCATGCCCCAAACTGGCAGATATGCCGGCAGCAACCCACCCCTTTGGGGGGGGGGGACACAACCATGACCTGGAGGACTGACAACCTCCACAGACGTTTACGGTATATTCACTACCAGGAGTAAGAATTAACTGTATTTGTTGACTTGGCTTTGCGTTTGACACCCAGCTGTTTTGTTAAGCAGAAACCCCAACCAATGAGGAGAGGTTGTGACAAAGGAGCAATTCTGCTTGGAAGAATATTAGGAAAAAGAACTGAAAATGTCTATTTGGCATAAGACATTTTTAATTACACAAAAGAATTGAGACTGGAAAACCTAACCCCCACCACCCACCACCCAAAAAGGATAATTGGAATAATTAGGAGCAACTGCACCTCCACTGCTTCTTGGATCAGGCACCATAATCCCCCACTCAGCAGAACGAGGCAGGGAAGACTCGAACCCAGGATCACCCAGTGAATTCCACTGTGGGGAATCCCAGCATGGAAAAAAGGAAGCATATAGTCCTACTCTCTGACTCTGGAGATGGATTTCCACCCTGAGTTCCTGGGTGGGGCGCTGAGTCTCATAGAGGAGCTCGACAGGATGCCAACCCTTGTATGGAGGCTGTCTTGTCAGGATCCGCATAGTGTGCTGCCCCAAAGAATATCTGCCTGGTGTTCACACGGCGGGAGAGACACCGGCCTGTTTTGCTCACAAACGTCTGGAGAAGTAAAGTATTTTCTCTGTGTTTGCCCTTCCCGAGAGTTCTTGTAATCCCTGCAGATGGTTAACGGGAAAGTTGAACCTCCCAGCTTTGCAATTTCCTTTCCCATCAACTGGAGGCTTCGCTGATTTGAAGATCAATTGATCTGCTTAGCAACGGAAATTTTGGACCCGATCGTGGGCGTAAGTCGATGTCCACCTGTAGTGTGCTGATGTAAGTCACATTTCTGTCCTGGAGGAGATGTGACTTTCCTCAGCACAGTACAGGTGCCACGATTGGGTCCAGAATTTCCATTGCTAAGCAAGGCAGTCGGTAAGTGAGTCATGCCCAAGTGCACAATTTTGTCCACATGCCTTTCAGAAGATTTTGCGTCTTCCTTTGGCTGTTTCACTTTTTTTTTACGTCTACAATTTTGGCCTTTCTAGCATTTATAATTGCATTGGTGTCAAATGTGAATGTTGTACACCGCCCTGAGTGATACAGATATGAAATGCGTGTGTGAAAGAGAGGGATTTAAAACATATGAACCTTTTTGATCTCTGCGGCACGAATCTTCTTACGTCTCCAAACCCGCGCTGAGTCCTGGTGGCATTTTGGCTTCAGCCCCGAAGGGCGCCTGCGCGGACCTTCCCCCTCCCCCCGCGCGCCCAGCTCCCTTTCTAGGCGGCGGCGCTCGCTGCCTTTAACCCTTGCGCGGCTGCAGCGGTATTGGCGGGCGAGGAGACGGGAGGCGGGCGAGGCGGAGGGGCGGCGGCGGCGGCCCCAGTCAAGCCAGCTTCAGAGTTGACATGCGTGTGCGCTGACCACTGTTCGTGTGAGTGTTGAACTGCACATGCAAATTTGGGCTGGCTTGCCACTCGCACAGCCTGGTTCTTTTATACACAAACACACACACACACAAATACACACACATAGAGCACACATAGAGTCAAGGTTGAGGACTGCTGTCCTAGTAGGAAATAGAGCTCAAAATGGGGGGAAACGACCAGAAAGGTTGATGTTAAAGGGACTACTGCTGAAGTTCCCATGAGTGAAGTCATCCATTGCTCAGTTGAAGTTGAGTGACTTCAGGAAAAGGAGATACGGGACAGAGAGGAAAACAGTCATCTTGGAATACAGGTAGTCCTCGACTTACGACCACAGTTGGGAACAGCATTTCCGTTGCTAAGCAAGTTACGTCTGATTTTTATGACCTTTGTTGTGACAGTTCTTAAGCAAATCCCTGCAGCAGAGTCGGACAGTGAGGAGGTTGGGGTGGAACATGGGCCAGTCCTAGAGTCTGGGGAAGGCTCCGACGAGGGCTCTGCATCGGAGGCAGAGAGGGGGCCAGGGCCATCTGGGAGTTATGTACTGCCTCCGGAGCCTCCAGAGTCGGACATCAGCAAGGCAGAGGAACAGGGGGAGCCTGTTCCTAGAGCGTGCATGTGCAGAGTTGCAAGAAGGCAAGAACANGAACCGCTGAACTGCAGATAACAGTCAGCTGAAGTGGCCTGCAGTACTGCACTCTAACCACTGCGCCACCTCGGCTCCGCCTCCAGTACTGTCCCTCAACCAGTCTGTGCTTCAGTCTAAGGTGTCCTGGAACCGCTAGAGGAGAATTTTGTAGAGCGGACCTTCTCCTCCTCCCAGATATCAGGTGTCGTTGGGTTTATGCCAAGGAGCTGGTTCCACAAAATGCCTTTTCTACACGCCTGTGCCCTTACCCAGAGAGGTCACGTTCCTCAGGTTCTCCCTCATGACTTCCCCGTGGAGGGCTTTTTGGGGGGGATCCAGCCGAGCCCACTCTTCCTTGGAGAAACACACAGCCACCTCCTCAAAAGAGACAAGACCCTGGGGGGGAAAAAGTGGGGGAGGAAACTCTTCTCCATTAATAGTCCAGGAAGGTTTTGCAACTCCTTCCCTTCAACTCAACAAGTCCCCCAAGCAAAGATTGTGCACGGATTATTGTCTAGGAGAAAAGAATACACACAGCTCGGGGTTGAGCTGAGCTTGGTGGTTTGACAGCCGTCGTTTCACTGGATTGGCAACACCACAAACACAAGCGAATCTGGCGTTTTATCTCTGTTTTTATACAATCGCTTGTCCTGCCAATGGTGGAAGGGAATGGTTTTCTTTTGACAGCTCCTGGATTACAGAATTGTTTTCTGATTGTTTGCCTGGCATGATTTATTTATTAAACCAAGTCTTTACTGTTAGGAGTGAATACGGGCAGTTTACAGATAACTGTGCAACCCATACAAAAAAAAAAGACAAGATTAAATCGTTAAAAAGAGGGAGGGATCACCCTTCAGCCACCAACCCCCCTCCCCCCCCCCAGGGTTGTGACCAGAGGTGGGTTCCTACCAGTTCGCACCTATTCGGTAGAATCGGTTCGTCAAATCTACCGAACCGGTTAGAAGAGGTTCCACCAGTGGACCCNTTGGTGGGCGTGGCAGGGGAAGGTTACTGCAAAATCCCCATTCCCTCCTAATCAGCTGGGACTCGGGAGGCAGAGAATAAATGGGGGCGGAGCCAGTCAGAGGTGGTATTTGCCGGTTCTCTGAACTATTCAAAATTTCCACTACCGGTTCTCCAGAACGGGTCAGAACCTGCTGAATACCACCTCTGGTGGGCGCCGCCCCCCCCCAGCACTCTCATCTGACTCCTGGGGTCCCTCAGTGGTCCCATCTCCCCCCCCAGACCTCAACCTGCATTCCTAAGGCACCCCAAGTCCCCTCCTTGCACAATCACCTGGCATTACAGGCGGGCTCTGCAAGGTGCCCCACAGCAGTTTTGGAGGCAAAGGAACAGGGCGCGGAGCAGCTGCACTGAAGGATCCCTTTGGGACTTCCTGTCAGAGGGGCAACGGCAGAGCTTTTGGGGTACCCATTGTGGGAGAAAGATGTGTCCCTTCCAGATGCGTTGCCATTGGGCCCTGGGGCAGTGGTGGGGTTCAAACGCTTTTACTACCGGTTCTGTGGGTGTGGCTTGGTAGGCATGACATGCTTGGTGGGCGTGGCAGGGGAAGGATACTGCAAAATCCCCATTTCCTCCCGATCAGCTGGGACTCGGGAGGGAGAGAACGGGTGGGCTCTCCTGCCTGTCTCCTGTGAGTGAGTGGGCGCGTGGTATCACTGGAGGCGAGGCAGCTGTCTTGGGGATGAGAGGTTCAATCGGGGTCCCTGCCTGGGGGGTGGAGAGGCTGGGACCCCACAGCTGCCAGACAGAATTCTTGGATTACTCAGAGTAGGAAATTCTCATCTCGGCACCTTCCCCACAACTCCCTCCCCACCTCGGCCACAACCGACAGAGGAGTCCGTCTCCGTCCTCCTGTGGGAAGGGAGGGAGGCTTCTGCAGGCTCCCGCCTCTCTTGCCCTCGGCTCCTTTCCCAAAGTCAGGCCTGGGGTCCCACCATCACCAGCCCCTTTCTCCCCTCTTCCCCCTGGAGCACTGAAGGTCTCTTCCAGCGCCTGGCCCCCACCCGCCCAGCCCCTCCTTACCGGGGTTTTCCTTCCCCGCTTCGCTTCTAGGGATCTGGCCGCAGCGCAGCTTCTAGGGACACCCCAGCAGAGCCCATGGACGCTTCCAGCCCCAGAGAGGGAATTGGTGGGTCCGCAGTGGGCTTTAGAACTGGAAGTGCCCTTGAAGACGTGGAAGAACCAATGAGAATTCTCCCTTCTGCAACGTCACCAGTCTCCGGCCAGAGTCCTTTGTGACTTCACCCGCGAGGGGAGAAAGTTCAGAGCCGGGAGAGAAGCGGAGAAAGTGGGCGTGGGAGGAAGGGAGCTCACGGGGGTCTTCCAGGCCGGCGAAAAGCTCCGAATTGTTACCGGTTTCATCCTGACCTTCCCGGTTGCGGTTTGTGCGCCGACTGGATCTTGTGATGCTCCGTCCTGAGAATCGGACCGCCGGACCGTCCCCGCGACTGTTTCACCGACGCCCCAGGGAGGAAAATCCCTCCCAGCCTCGCTCTGAAGTGGCGCAGGAGAGAAAATCCTCCGATTTCTCCAAGCTTGGAGGAAGTGACAGAAATGACGCCTCGCCTCCCCCCCCCCCCCCCTTGGAAAATCGTCCCACGGGGAGAGCAATTCCACAGGGACTGGAGAATCGGCAGCCCCGCCATTGTGATCACACACACACCCTCCCGGGGCAGAGGTGGTATTCAGGAGGTCCTGGCCAGTTCTGGAGAAGTGGTAGCGGAAATAGTTCGGAGAACCGGTAAACACCACCTCTGGCTGGCCCTGCCCCCATCTACTCTCGGAGGACCGCCCTGAGACAGNGAGTCAATTTATTGTCCAAAGCCCCTGAACACAGGACAAGAATCAATGGATGGAAATTCATGAAGGAGAGAAGCAACCTGGAATTGAGGAGAAACTTCCTAACAGTGAGGACAATCAACCAGTGGAACAGAAGTTGCCTTCAGAAGTTGTGGATGCTTCACCACTGGAGGTTTTAAGAAGAGACTGGACTGCCCTCTGTCAGAAATGGTCTCGGGCCTCCTGATTTTTGCCCACAATGTTTATTTGTTTTATTTATATTACTTTACATTTCCACCAAAAAAGTGTGGTATCAAGGTTTTAAACAATCGAAATTCACATATTTGTTATAAAATTCATCACAATACTATTAATAATATAACTATATATCCCTACAGTCACAATAATACATAATATCTTCATCATCAAATTCCCTCCTCATTGTCATTCCCATAAGACATAAAGGAGGAGTAAAGGCACGTGAATCTTTGCAGGAAGCAACTTGGTTCGTGCTGATCCGTTTGAATTCTGAAGCTCCGTTTTGACTCTCTGCTCCGTGTGGCCTTGCAAAGCTAATGGCCAATTAGGTCTTTCGCAGCGTTTCAAGGGAGATAAAGGTGGGTGCTTATCAGCCTTATCCTGAAAGACTTTGGCAGACTTCTGTAGGACTCTTTACAAACTATTCGTGACTCATTACAGGCTGTGACTGAACATAATTCACAGCCGTTGAAATAAAAAAGAGGGTTTTCTGGACTAAGTGTGTGGTTTTTTGCTGTCTCAGGAAGCCTAGGTCGAAACAAGCACTTCCTGGGAAACCCTGGCACAAGATCGATCTGCATGGCACACGCTGATCCTCCGAGGCTGCCAGACATCTGAGGATAGAAGAAGAACCACGCCACAAGAGAAGCAAGCACTCCACAAAGCCACAGCTGCAAATGCTGCTACAAGGGTGCCCACACATGTATGCCCGACATGTGGCAAAATGTTTCGTGCCCGTAGAGGCCTTGCCAGCCACCTGTGGACACATCACGGACAGCCCACAACCTGCTGGATGTCAAGGTCCTCTTTGAACATGATAGCAGTAGCAGTAGACTTATATACCGCTTCATAGGGCTTTCAGCCCTCTCTAAGCGGTTTACAGAGAGTC